TTTTAGGAAGGTGTTGCTATTTATCAAGAGGATATCATTCTTTGACTTGCTTGACTCCAACAACTTAAAACTGTGCTACATAAATTAACTAAACTAGTTTATTGTTTTGGTTTTAAAAACTGTGACTTAGTGATTTTGTAGATTTAGAAATCTGACCATGACACTGATGTAAATTCCCCTCAGGAATTTTTTTTACTTTAAGCTTCAAAATGATACGTATTTTGTTGAAACTTGTGGATTTGTCACCTGGCTGGCAGCAAGTTCATTTTATTTACAAGAGTTCTGGTTTGAAATCTTGATCTTTATTAGTCTGGAATGGTGTTTTGGGGATTTTCAGCCCTATGTTTAAAAAGGAGAAGCCCTAGCTTCTCAATGACAAAAACAGTTTGATCGATCTTAGTTTTCAGATATCGTTTGATCATTTTAACTTTGATGAAAAGTTTTGCTAATTTTATCTATTAGTTATGTTTTACTGTGTTTAGTTTTTGTTCTGCTTGGTTAACTTTATTCATTTACTATTTAATAAATATCAACAAATTGATTTACATTTTCACACAAAATGTCATTTTTAATAAAGCTATATAAAAGTCAATATGCTGACATGATAATTTCTCTTTAAAAGAAAGATGATAACTCACAGAAATATAATCAGGTCTCACACATTTCTTGTGGTTCATGTGTCCTGGCCTGTACAAATTAATATGCCACAATCAATCTTTTCTGAAGAAACACCCCTGAGGTGACACAAGCCACAGTGCTGCTAAAGAAGCAGTTGTTGCTTAAAACTTTTTTATTTTTTTAAATCTGTATCTGACTTATTTAAAAGATATCTGGTATGTGACTTGTTTTCTTTTTGCACTGAGGCCTGACACAAGTTGATAATCTGCGTTGAATAAAAAGGTAAACTAAATTAATTTGAATTGCATGTTGGATGGCTAATATTCAAACTACAGCACACTCATATAAAGTTGACTTTTAAGGTTTACTTTTATTTGACAAACATTCTAAACTCACTTGTTGCAGATTTGGAACACAGCTTTGGAACATTGTGTACCTCGCATCACAGGTTCCTTGTTTTATTTTTAGCCCTTCTTTTTTGTTGCGAGTCATTTGTGCTGTCGTGACATGAAACGACTTCTTAGAAGGCGGTAGAGCAACTTTTCGTTCATTTCTTACCTAAAAAAGTGTGTTTTGTTAAAGGACACGTGTACATATATGCGTTAATCAACTCATTTATTAACCTTTATGTAACCAGACAAATCCCAGATCTCTTCTGAGTGTGAGGTGGACTCGGCTACTTTTTTAGACCAGACTTATTGTAAGGCTTTCCTTTTTGATAAATCTTGTTGTTAGGGTTGGTTTACTGAGTTATTAGTTCTGCTGCTAAAAGTTTAGACTGCTGGAGCACAAAATGACCACATTTACTCACTCTGCTGTTGTTTTTAGTCACTCTCCTCTACAAGTTTGTTGTAAATATTTGTATCAGTAACATGCTTTCTTTGTCTCTTTCCTGTCTCGCAAACCCAGCCTGTCGAGGCAGATGGCCACTTGGTTCTGGTTCTGCTGGAGGTTTCTTCCTGTTTAAAGGGAGTTTTTTCTTTCCACTATCACCAATGTGCTGCTCAGGATGGAAGACGGTGGTATAGAATGTGCTGGTGTCCTTTATTTTTTTTGTACCTGAGATAATGATCGTTGTGACTTGGTGCTATACAAATAAACTGAATAGATGTATTTTACAAGAGAGGCCTGAAGGCAACCTAACAAGGTATTTTTGGAATGTGGGTGGAAGCTGTAGTACCAGGAGAAAACCCATATGTCATCATGAGAACATGTAAACTCCAGGTCTAAACCAGGGATCGAACCCAGGATTCTTCCTTCTTGCTGTGAGGCATCAGTGCTAATTACTAAACCATCATGCTGCCAATTAAATCAAACTGATTAACAAGTAATACGCTGTATGTTGTGAACACATTCAGCCATCAGATTAACTGAAACTCAAATGTAGAAAATCTTGAATCTTGTATGAAAAGCTCAGCGTTGAATTACTTTACAAGAATTTGTTGAAGAAGCTCAAAAAAATTTTTTAAAGTTCCGACAAATAAAAGCAAAAAAAAAAAGTTAAACCCAAACCAAAAGATGAATTAGCAACAGTTAGGAGGCAAGTTTAGCTATGCAAAACCTAAAACAAACTGAGCAGTAGCTACAAGCTAAAACTAACAGACGAAAAAAAACTAAAATAATCAAAACAGCAGCTAAAAATGAAGCAATATGCAAAAGCAGATTTCATTTTGCACAAACTTTTTCACGTATGTAAATATCTCAGTGCATTTTTAGAAGGAAAACATATCGAAAAACGTTAAATATCAAAAAAAGGATAAAAGTTTCCAAAATCAAAAGACACAGCCAGGCTGTCCTGCATGAGCCAAACAGCTTGATGCCCGAATGGTTAAATTAGTCTAAAACACATAACAGAAATGAACAGTATTGATCCAAAGCAGTTTAATCTGAAAACTGGTCTGTAGCAGATTCTCCTGAGGTTTGCATCAAGTTCTGGTTTAAGACGAACATTATGTACTCACCGTGATCAGCACTATCAGAAGGAAGAATATCATTTTTAAGAAACAAAACCAATCCATGGTTAAAGGTGAGTCAATGTTTCCACCAGGCTGATGTTTCTGACAGTAACTTGAACTTCAACTGTCTGAGAAAAAAACAAGCGAATCTGATGAACCTTCAGCTTTCCCCTCTTCCTTCTCTCCTGCACGCCACTCCTAGTTTTGTAAGCACTCTCTGCACACTTTTTTTTCATGTAACTGTCACATGCCTATATGTTTCTCTGAGGTGTGTCTGTTCAACAGTTTTTAAAAGTTCAGGTTTGGCCTCGGGGTCGAACACCTGGCGGAACTTTAAAGGATAAAAGGCCTTCAGGGAAAAAAAAAAACTCCACCTTTGTCACAAAACGTTTGTCAGGTCTTTTGCTGCAGGTTTTCTATATTTTATGGGCTGAAAATGTATAAAGAAAAAAAAAGGTGGTTTATCACAGACTGTGAAAAAGTAAAGGTGGAAGGTTATGATAGTGCCAGTAGGTTGGCATGATTTGTCTTTAAAATTGTAATTATTTAGAGACAACTTTTATGGTCTGTTAGCAAAATATGTCTCAAACCACTGGAGAAAAGTGAATGAAAACTCAAGTTTTAGAACAAACAGTTTAAGTGACTGCCCCCTTAGCAAAAAGTAGTATATCGTTAGCATCATAACATAATTGCCCATGACATATTTGGCCATCAAATGACTTAGACAATTAAGTTTTAAGGCTAACCGATACGCAAGTATCCTTTAAATATGCCATTTATAAACTAAAAATAAAAGGGTATACATCCAGTTTACTTTTATGTATTTATCTGAGATATACTTAACCAAGTTTATCTTACACTATACTTATGGTTGTACTAAAAGTATACTAAAACTTTTAAGTATACTAAGTCTACTGTTTAACCTTTTGGCCAAGATGAACTTTAGTGGTGCATTGAAAGAACATTTTCTCACAGACTGGTTTATTTATTTGTTGTATTTTTCAAGACTAAACAAAAAGTATACTTAGAAGATTACGTTCAGTATACTTCTGAGTATACTTTCATGAACTTATTGTGGGCCAATTTAGTCCTAGAAGTATACTTGTTAATAAACTACTAGTATACTTACAATAGTGTATATGGTAAATAAAAGTACACTTAGGGAAATACACTTTTCTATACTTTAGTATACAAAATGACATGTATCTAATGTATACATCTTTTTGGTAAATTTATAAACTAAAAATACATTATAAGAGTATACTTAACGTATACTTTTTATAAACTTTTTTAAAAGGCCCAATTTAGTACAAACAAGTGTTTTATCAGTATATTTTCCAGTACACTACAAGTACATGGTGCCTAGAATACTTGATATACATAAACTTATACTCAAGTATACTTCTTTAAATAAACTTCAAGTAAACTACTTTTTGCTGAGGGCCATCTGACCTCAGAACGCACACAATAATTCAGTCATTTTTAAAGCCATTTTGATCAAGTTGAATGCAACACATATGAGAAGAAACCGCTCATAAACCACAATTCTCTTCCAAGTTTGAAAGCCTCAAAACTATTCAAAACCCAAACAGGAATAAGATCGTAGAGTCCCCCTCCTCTCAGCCAGCAGGACACTGACATGTCAGATGCATATCTATGTAATCAGTTTTGAAACATCAGAATCAGGTGGAGCTGACTTCTCACCAACCACTCGATCCACAGATCCAGCCACAGAAACTGAGAACTTGAACCATTTGAGTACAGTTTTGGTTAAATACAGGGATCCAGGAAACTACTTCTCAGCTGAGGAGGACTCGGTGACCTAAGTTAAACCAACAATCCTTCCTGCACCTCATCGACAAAAGTGCTGCACAAAAATTCAACTTGCCTCCAGGTCTTGATGACTAATGAACCATGATGCATTTCTCAACATCCCACTAACATGACACTCTGCTTTATTTGAGGACATGTTTTACTGCAAACAGCGCAATTAAAAAAACTGAAACTTGTCTTGTACATTGGACATGCCACTAGCAGCTCTGATCACAAATGGTCTTTAAAAATGATAAAATACATGATTTAAGTTTATAAAAACATAATTTCTGCTGCAATGAAAACTCTTCCTTTAATTGTAAAAGTCTTTGAAATGTGTTAAATGAATGTTGATGATTTTTGTGAGCATTTTTCAATAAATAAATAAATCAGTCAAATGGTTCAACAAACCTTTTATTTTATTTTATATCTCACAGGAGACTGTATTGGTGCAAAACAGAACTTTGAACAGAGACGATCCTGTCTCTATGAATCCCAATGTTGCAGCAGCCAGAATCTGGTCATGTCAGACCAAACGAACGAACGAACGAACGAACGAACGAACGAACGAACGAACGAACGAACGAACGAACGAACGAACGAACGAACGAACG